TTGCTTACAAACGGTCTTCAAAAATTCGCTCTGAATGCCCTATATTATACGAAATTGGTCTACAGTCAGACCAACGCACGAAATATGAAGCCTTGCGCTGCAGAGACTGCATGAAATCGCATTAGCTCTATGTCCGACGATCTTGCAGCAAATTCCACAAGGAGACTGCTTCGTCATTTTAAAAATAACTACGATCGATACGAGCAAATGGGTGTAATTAAGAGACACAGAAGTTATGCTGAATTATTACAGATAGTTACGAAGTATAACGCTAAATGACTAGCTAGAATTAATTATGTGAACTAGAGGACGACACTGTTATAACAATAAAATCAACGAGATAAAATTGGCCTAACAGGATAAGGGCACGCTACCACTAAGATCGAAAAATCGCTAGGAGCACAAAAAACGAGAAAATTACGGCTAATATATATCTAAATTTATCACCGGAAAACGCAGAATCAAATATTATATCGAACTATATAACTCACGACAAGATATAACAATATATGACACAATAATAATGAAAAAACTGGCCTGAGAGCGGAGCGAACGTATTTTCAAACCGAAGGCTGTGGCCTTGACCTTGATGATGATGATGATGAGGATGAGTGTGAGGAGAGGAGGAGGGGTGATGATAGATGATGAGGATGTGTGATGAGATGATGACGGTGATGATGAGGAAATGAGGAGAAATGAGGATAACGTGTGTGATGATAGAGGAGGAGGAGGAGGATGATTGGATGATGATGAGATGAGAAATGGTGATGAGAGATGAGGATGATGAGGTGATGAATGATTGGAGATGATGATGATGGATGATGATACCGATGATGATGATGATGATGATGATGATGAGTGATGATGATGATGAGTGATGATGATGATGATGTGATGATGATGGATGATGTGATAGATGATGATGATGATGTGATGATGATGATGATGATGTGATGATGTGATGATGATGCTGAGTGTGATGATGTGTCTGATGATGATGATGATGATGATGCTGATGTGATGATGGATGAGTGGATGATGATGGTGATGGATGATGTGATTTGTGTGCTGATGTGATGTGATGATGATGATGATGATGCTGATGATGATGCTGATGATGATGCATCCCCGGTGATGATTATCGTCTATCGAAAGGATTTCTGTATCCACGGATTGCTTAATGAGGACACAGTATCTCTTTTCCCTAATTAGCTTGTTCATTTACACTGTTTTACTGTGTCCTACAAGCGGTTAACATATCGTATATTTATTCCTTTCACACGATCACTGACGCATCCTTGCCTTTTCAAGGTCATTCATATTATTGTGTTACTGTGACACAGCCCAAATACTCGCTCTGCCCCACGTTGTATAGTTTCTGTTTACTTGCGTTACGATTGCAAAACCTATTCGTAAGTCATGTACCGTATTTAATATGCCTTATAGAACCACGGTTACATGATAATTCGTTTTATTCTTCTGCCCAGACCGTGCGTTAAGTCTAGGTTTATTTGTTCCTAGTTGCTAGTTTAGTTTTCGTACGACGTACTTAGTTTAGGCTTAGTATCGTTGGTACGTAAGTTGAATAGGGCAATCATCTCCGTTTCTGGTGATTCTCTTGATGATGTTAACGTTACTGATGGTGAGAAACTTCGAAGAGCTGAATCCCGTGTTCGTCTGTTGGAGTCGGTTTTAACGAGCATGCGCATGTTGCAGGCGAAGACGGTTGATGTTAAGGACTACTGCGAACCCGAATTTGAGTCGGATGCGCTTATTAATAAACGATCGCCCACCTGCGCACCTCTGTACTAATCATGGATTTGCATTAAACGCGATGGAAATTAGTTAACCATTATTTAGGGAAGGCTGCTGACGTTTCCTGCTGAGGGCCCGAATTTAGTCTTACTTGGGATGAAATTCGGGCGCTCAGAAATAACCGCATATTTCTGTATATAAGGGAAGTTTAGAGCACCGAAAAATGCGTTTAAATGCAAACCTGTAGTGGTAGTCCAAATTTGTTTCAAATAAAGGAAAATTGTTATCCGCGGATAAAGGGACGCTGCGGCGATATTATTCTGAGCGCCCGAATTTAGTCCCAAATGGCGTGCAAGTGGTTGTTCATGCACAATCATGCAATGTAATAGCACATTAAATACAGTGGAAAATAGTTACACATAAACGGGTGGTTGCGGCTGCTATATTATCCTGAGCGTCCGAATTTCATCTCAAGTGGGACTAAATTCGGGCAATCAGTAGAAAAGGCCAGCAGCCTTCCCTAATTCATGGTCAACTAATTTCCAGCGCCTTTAATGCAATTCCATGATCTCTACATAGGTACGCACGTACACACTCCTGGGAGACCTAAATTATTAAGACGTATAAAATTAGCGAGCTCAGGAACCACATGCTCCACTATCGCACTGCAACCACCTAATCCTCCAACGTGCACTACACACGCTCCGTTGTAGCACCAACACGTTCGTGAGGGATGTAAAAGTTG